ATAACTGAAGGAATTTTGAAATTCAAAATGGGTGGCCTCATAATTTATAGTCATAACAGTCACTCATCATCAAGTATCTCCTTCTGTAGCTACCTGCAGTCTGGGACCAATCAATACAGTTACCATTTCTTCTGGTTTACTCAATTTACTTTTCTGATTGCAGGGCAGGAATTCTTCCCTTCTCCAAGAAAAATCTGTTTCAACTTAATTGAGCCAGTACCCTATGCAGAGATACTATTGCTTTCTTCCTTTTCTTTCTTATCTTATGAATCTAGGGAAATAGTTGGTTCTTCCTGGAACAACTAACCCTAAAGCATGGAACCTGATCTGAATTTTAGCAAATCCTTAGCTCCAGGGTGGCAAGGACCAGACCAGAGTGCTTTTTAATTTTATGTGGCACGTGGATTTGGGATACAAATGCCATCTTTATAAACCAGATACAAAATGTTAATGTTTTTAGTACTGCTCACAGAAAAGGGAGACTTGTATCAGAACTTATCCATTTAAATGCTTTGAAGAGGAATGCCATGACTGTGAAATTATTTCCACTATAGCTATGATAAAAGATGTATCATTCTGCCTAAGGAACCTGTTTTTGCCACATATGGGCTCCATACTATGGCAATCTACATGGGTCTGACCGATTTAATGCCTCTAAATACAAAAATTAAGAGGTAAAAAATGCAGCATTCTTCAGAGACTGTTCTGGAGTGCATCTTAAGGTCAAACTCACAACTTTTGCTGCTACCTCTTTTGCCTGCTGCAGCATTTTCATAATACGTGTCTAAAGTTCAAATTCAGAATGGGCTAGATGCTCCAGGCCTCTGCAGAATTCCTACCACAAGGTGTTAAGGGAATCTTTGGAGCACCACTGTAATTTTCAAGATGCCTAAGAAAAAATATGAAAGGTTATCAAACCACAGTCACATGACTTACCATATCCCTTGTTAAATACATCCCTGGCAGACTTTCCCAAGTCACTGTAGGATGGTGGGATAGCCATTGGATCTGAAACATATTGGAAGTTGTAAGAGTCTTAGTTTTAACAGTATAAAATCTAAACTATATCCAAAGGGTTTTATCAACGTCTGCGTACTTCACCACTACGGAACTGCAAGACCTTTGAAGAACATTTGTGGAAGTCATCTTTGCATCATTGTCGTTTTGTCAGAAACAAACTTCAAGGAAGCTAAGAAAGCAAATATGTTACTTGGAATCACTCAACCCCAGGAACAGTATTACATTCAACTGCTTACATAGGCCCCGTGTTCCTACACTGCAAGGAGAGCCCGTGGGAGCCTTGTTACTGTTCTGATAATGAGCAAACACTGCTTTTGTGACAGGACCCTTTCTGAAAGGGACCCCACCTCAACAACGAACAGTCCCAAAGGAATGATACCTGACTGCCATTTGCACTTGTGACTACTTAGAAAAAAGATTCTTCAGGTTAGGTCTTGCTGAAATACAAAATTTCCATGCTAATAACAAGCAGCTCTACTTGCAAGCCAGCATTGTCTTGAGGAACTGAGCTCCCAGTTCCACAACTATTTATACTACATTTGAATTAGTCTCCACCGACCAGATGGGATGACAACAGCTAACAAAACACAGTGTAAAGTGGGAAAAGAAACATCTAGAACTAAGCCACAGTACCCACTTTAAACTCCTTGATTTAAACAAGCCCTCCTTAATTTTGTGCTTCGACTTTCTTTCCCAGTTAGTACAAGCAGCACAGGACAATATATATGCAGGAGCAAAAGGCTGGGGACAACGTTGCCATTTTCAGATAAAATGTACGGTAAGCAAAAGTCTGTGGGAAACTGCAGAGAGGTAACAGCACCTGGGAATGGGAATGCCAGTGAAGAACAGACATAAGAACACCCGCACCGGCCCACGGAGTAACTGGAAAAACAACAAACCCCAAAACGCACAGAAGAGAGAAAAACGCGAAGAAGCGCCGGCAGGGAGGGCAGCGCTGCCGTGCCCGGCGGGGGG